TGATTGGCAAAAGCCAAAAGGATTGGTTGAAAGTTGAAACTTGAAAGTAGGCCACGTTTGGATGTGTGCACATACATTTACATTATATTTTTGTCTTTGATTTTTTTTTTTTTATGTTTTCCCCTTAACCACAGGAAAGCAAGATGTTCTCAGAAAAAGATGGGCTCCCAAAAAGGCCATTTCCAAATGGGTGGAAAGGTGAAAATGGGCTGTATGCTGTGGGGTTCACCAAACGCGGCCTTATTGGGACATCAGTCGATGCCAACAACGTTGCAAATGACATTGAAATCTCTTGGAAGGCAGAAAATCAACACATTAATTCCTCCATTTCTAATTGGCCACTTTTATTGGAAAAAATTGTGTAGTTTTGTGCTAAGATCACATATATTTATATAATTGTTCATTAATTAATGTGATAGCATATTTTATATGTATGTATAGCCTATATAAAGTTGACTTAAAATGAAGAGTGAAAAAAAATTAAAAGAAGTCTTTTTATGGGGGAACTAATAATTTCAAAAAAGGAAAAGGGAAAAAAAAAAGAAGCATATGTAACGTAATATGTATACATCATATATAGGTTGGCTGCAGGTTTTTGACATGTCTGCATTTTTCAGATTTATACTTGTAATTGCTTTGTATCCTCAGACTACAATATTTTGTTCAATTAATATAGTTTATTTATGTTTGTGGTTTTTTCTTAATATTTTTGTGATTTTATGAAACTAATAGTTAGGAGTACTGTCACGTGACATGATGTAATATTTTTTTTATTAAATGAACTATATTTTATGACTATTATCCAATACTAATTTGGGTTAATGTGAATATGGGAAACTTGTGTAAATTAAGAGCATTGGAAAAAAAATAATAATGGGGCTAGATTTATATTTTCGATTTTGAGGAAAGCTCAACTTTATCCTATAAACGTGAATTGAGTGTCACTATACACTTGAGCTGTATCACTTTACTCTTTATACTTTTCTTCTGAAAAAACAATAATTATGAATTAAGCTAACAAATCAATATGATAATCTTGTTATTTGACATTACATTTCTCTACGTAGACATATTTAATATTCACACCACAAAGCTTTGTTTGACTTAGAAGATGGAAATTACATTACACTCAGACATTTTTTATTTTTCAACTTATCATATAATTATCTTTTAGCATTATACATCTTATACACCATGACCTAGGTAGTAGAAATTCCTATTAATCGAGGTCATTTTTTTTACCAATAATACTGAAATAAAAGTCAAATAAAGAAATCAAACTACAATAATAATTCCCGTTTGAGACGAGTCTCACGAGACGTAACAATATCGGCACTAATGTTCAAAAGTAGCATACATTAGACGATATTCAACATATTGTGATGTAAAAAAATAGCGTTTTTTTTAATGACTAAAAACTGTTATATTAAAATTTAACAATTGATACACGTACTACAAAAAAAATGTCATATTCTAATAGAAAATTTTATGGTAATATATTTAAATGGAAGAAAATTTCAACGGTTATTCCAATGGTATAATTTCTGTTGGAATTATTCCAACGAAAATTCCAACAGAACTATTCCATTGGAATGAGTTATTCCATTGGAATTTAGATGGAATTTGATCATTCCAACAGTTTGTTATCGTAGGAATTTTCGTTGAAATATATAATTTATGTTGGGATTTTTATTTTTATCCATATATATTTCAACTGTTGGAAAATGTACAGTTGGAATCGTCAAAATCTAACAGAAACTTCAATGGAAAACTCATTTCAACGGAATATTTTTGTTGGAATTTTCGTCGGAATCCATTGAAAAAATCCAATAGAAATAATAACATTGAAATATCCATTGGAATTCCCGTTGGAATTCTATTGAAATATATTTCGGTTAGAATTTTACTGACGTTTATATACTTAAAAGTAAAGAAAATTCATACAAACTCAACTTACAAGGAGCATGTCCAAAATTGCACCTAATTGTTATCATCACTAGCCAAAGCTAGGTTTCTCTATATATAGGACTTAATTTGAAAATGGAGTAAAGGGAATATTCCAGTGTGCCACCTGTTGAGTTGTCATTGGCCCCTTATTTTCCAGTATCTTTGGATGAAAGGAAAGAATAGACTTTTATTCTTCTTTTGGTTTTTTCACACAATTTGGGTGAAGATAGAAGCATGAGAGTGAATAGTCAAGATCATGGGTTATCAAACAACCAGTTTAATATAATAATTTAAAATTTTCCGTATGTTGAATATTTTTTGTAAAATACCTGTTATTTATAAACAATTATTTCAAATTATAGTATAAGACGTCTTGAAAAACAAAAAGAATAAATGTAATATATACTCTTGGAAAATAAGTCGTTGAAAACCTCAAAATCCAACAGAAAAAACCAATTTCATTTTCAACAGAATACCTTTTTTTAGAATTGTAACTGAAAAGTCGAAAATCTTCAAAATCCAACAACAATTTCAACAGGTAACCAATTCCAACAAAACGTTTTCCTTCGAAATGTAACAAGAAACTTTTCAACATAAACTATAATATTGGAATATATGATGGAATACATAATTGATTTTTTTTTTTTTTTTCAAATTTTTTCTTTCNAAAACTTGTCAAATCTATCATAATTTCCCCACAACACAAGACGAACTAGCTCCACTACAATCTTAAAACTACACACAAAAAAAAAGGAGCATCTTTATGTTTGTAACACACTAAGAAGAAGCACACTAAGTCGCTGTATGTGAGACTGTGAGCCATCAGAAGTGGTAAGCAAGCTTGCCAAAAATGGGGGAATATTATTTTTCTTTCTTCTTCAACGCTCTTTTTTATATTCTTCTCAACAGAGTGCCTTTTTCCTCACACAGCGAACATTCAATGGAAAGTTAAAATGCACTCTGAATCTTCAGGTTGTGGGGAAGTATATTCTCTGTTTCTATTTATGCAGAGTTATTTGAGAAATTTCAATCTCTAAAAAGGGAAAGAATTATATAAATGGGAAATTCACCAGCCACAAAAATAAATAAATAAAGTTGGAATCTAAGGGTGATATGTAAAATTGGGTATCATTATGCAGGGTTATTATTCTATAAAATGCACTCTGAATCATTATTTGTATCGTAATTAGTATAACAAATCACACGCAATTAATACGATGATATCGTAAAATTTGAAATCTAATGGTGAATTAAGGTCATATGGTCAAATATTTTTGTTTAACTTAAAATTTAATTCAAATTTAACTTAACCCAACACTAGGCGTTATAATGAATATAACTAGCTAATATCGATCAATCATCTTCACACGTCACATCAATTTTAATTCACTCACATAATTTTAATTACTCTTCACTTCCAATCACATCTCTCCTATTTTATATCAAAATCAACTTTAATAATTATATTTTAAATATTATTTTTATATAAACTCTAAATCCTAATCAAACATAACCCAATCAACTTTTTAAAAATTAACATTGGTTATCAAATAAATCTAATCAAAACTGAAATGGCTTATATTCAGTAACCCCTAAATGTTTGATCTTACTTTTCTTTACAGTACTTTTAACATTCAATAAGATCATGTGTGCCATGCATTTCCTAATGCTAATACAAGGAAAACAGCCCACTTATTGCAGAGGCTAAAAGTAAACTTATTGAAGAAATTGTTTGGCGGTCCAAAGAGTTGTAAGATTAAGAAAATGAACTAATCTTGTGTTAGATTTTGTTTTTGTTTTTGTCTTTTTTTTTTTAATTTCCTTCTTACCCTGCAAGAATATTTTCTGTTTAAGGAAAGTATAGTTCATATGTGGCTATGTTTGTTTGTAGCTCACATCTTTTTTTGTTTTGCTCCAAGAAAATGGTGCAAAGGACACGACTAAAGCTAATTTTATTGCAAGGTCCGCATTATAAATCATACATGGTACGCAACAAGAGGTTTATACGTGTAAGACTATGATAGGCTAATGGTTGTGCCAATAAGTTACAAGATTGATCAAGCTTGTTGCTTAAGTAAGACCATGAATTTCTCTTTAAGTTCAATTTTAATTAAGTCCACTAAAGCATTTTAAGAGGATATTTTCTTTTATTCCATGCATGTGTGAGGCACTCTTAGAGCTGTTAAATGAAACGGGCTGCTCGTGAGCTCGATTTGTTTAATGCTCGTTTCGTTAACAAATCGAGTTCGACTCAGTCTTTTTTTAAAATTTCTATTGATTACAAAAGTATATTAGCTATATTAATTAATACGGCCATTATTTGCTTATGTTAATACGGCCTTATTTTTTATTTTTTTATTTTTTATTTTTATTTTTTTTTATAAACCGATTGTGTTTTGGGCCGTGGTCCTCAATTATTGGACTTGGGCCTTGAAGCTTAGATATGTGCCAATGGCAAGGTCAGGGGTTCACCAAGGAACAAAACGATTGAGTTTTTTAGTGGGCTTTAGAGCTATAGCAGTTTTCTTGGGCTTAGAGTGAAACAATGCCCCCACCTACTGTTCATTTCAGAATATTTTCTTTTTATAGCATTTGAATATGTTCACAATTCAATTTTTTAATTGAGGTAAACAAGTGAGTTGGAATTCAAAATTCTCCATTTGTATTTCAAAAAACTCACATATTGAATTTTCAAGAACCCCAAATTTACTACAAAGTGTTAGGTATTTTTATTTTGATATGTTTTTTTTTTTTTTCACCTCT